GAGGAATATGAGGAAGCCACTAGTGAACACAGCGGGCACGATGGAGCCATAGAGGTGGTACAACAGGACGCCGAGCACCGAGTGTCCCAAAGCACAAATGAACAAGAGCGAACAAACCAGAACGTTTCCTCTCCTCCGGATGGGCTTGAGGCGCTTGGCCACCCGCTTTTCATCCTCCGAACCGCAGCTGTGCAGAACATACAGCTCCAGTGGGTCCAGCCACAGCAAACTCAGATTCACACATCTGACCACACTGCAAACCAAAACCAGAAGCACAACCACCAAAATCAGACCCCATAATGGAATGTAATCTGATGGCACATCCGGGTTCTTAATAACCAACTTGTCCGACCCGACAGAGCCCCACGCCTGGCCCTTTAAGACGCAGAAATGATGGAGCACAGGCTCTGCATCTTTACTCTCCGGTTCGGATGCTGCAGCTTCGGTCTGGACTTCTATAATCCCGCTGTTCTCGTCATCCGACGCGAACGCTCCGCGGAACCGGAACGCAGAGGAGTTGCGGCGTTCCTCCAGCGCGCACGGGTCACCCGAACCGCCTCCATCCGCGGCGAACGCGACCCACGGCCAGGTCTCATTGGACAGGTAGGACCCAAACAATCTGAGCTTGAAAGTGGTCCCGTGCGGAGCTACGATGACCCGTTCGCGCATGAACACCTGCTCGGTAACGTCCTCCAGGCGCAGTCCGTAAACCTGCGTCTCTTGAAGGCTGCAGGTTCCGAACCCGCAGAGGAACGATATGATCAACGGGAGACGCAGCTCCGCCAAGCTGACCACCATATTGGAACAGGGCAGCCTGGCTTTATGAATCATGTGACGCTGATGTTGTTGCTGCTACGCTACCCTCCTACTTTTTCAGTTGTTTTCATATAAAACGGTGAGGGAAACTGGCTCGGTCCGGCGGCCATGTTGGCTCCGAGATTCTTGAGAAACAGGTACGGACTTGCCCCAGAACTCTGGAGCCACAATGAACGCAGTTTCTTTCTTTTTTTTGCACTGCCGCTACGTCATGTCCATAATGGACCAATGACAGAAGAGCAAGTGCTCGCTTGACCAATCGGAGAACGGGCTGGCTTTGTAAACCACGCCCACAAGGGTACTGAAGAAGACCTTCAGCGTGTGAGATCAGCATCTTCTCAACGCTCTTTGAAAAACAAACGGTTTTATCTGGCTAAAAGCAGTTTTTTAAACTTTCACAGCTTTTATATGAATCTAGCGATTAGGTTAAGAAAGAGAGAGTTCAAAACTAACCGTAATGTATTACACCTTGCAAAAGTTTTGCCTACAGTTTGCAATTGGAATAAAAGCAATATCACAGACTGAGCAAAAGAGGTGTTTTAATAGAGAAATAGTTAGCATTTACATCATCAGAACGCGACAGAAATACAAAATATTATATACAGATTGCTTTAAATACGACCGTGTTCGTGGGAAGTACAGTACATCTGCGTTTGCATGTCCCTTTGAAGAAAGCAACTTAAGAAAAAACGAAAAATATACAGTTTGTCGTGATGTTTTAAAAAGTAAATATGACAAAAATGACTAACCCCACTTACAAAACAAATCATAGAATCATTTTTCTGTATTTCACATGGCTTTTTAATGGAAGTC